TGGGAAACCTCTATGTCACCTTTAAGTTCCTTCAGTTTTGAATTTCCGACCTTATTGTTACCTATCAATTTGATGGTAATATCCATTGGTTTGTTGCTCTCATGATTTGGAAATAACACATTTAGAGCACGATAAACCCTTCGAATTTGTGTTTGAGATACACCTTTTTTCTAAATTAGGCGTCTGTAGACATGGGGCATTGAATGCCTTTGGCAAGGTTGGTTGGACTAATGTTTGTTAGGATTCACAGTGCTGCTTTGAAAATATTCTTGGATTCTAGAAACTCCTTTGATAATTTTTTGCATGGAAATAATCTCCTTCTTTGTTAGGTGCTTTCTTAGCTCGTTTCTATTCGAAAGTCTTATTTCTTTCAGATTTTTTAGAAGGCTTGTATAGCAACTATCAAACACTAGTCTGCACAAGGATACAACATGACCTCTTTGTTGGTGTTGCATTTCTTTTGAAGGAAATCCAACAACCATTCATTATTTTTTGGATATACCTTGTTCAAAGACTCTTCCTTGAACTTCCCAATCACAATATCAGGCTCTAATCTTCCACTAAGACAACTTATACTACACAATAATTGAAGAAAGGTTCAACAAAGTGTGCAGGCACATGGAAATGATCAGAATTTATTTTCACTGGTGCCTTGATCTTTGCATCAAACACAATTTTTCCATCTTATCTTGCCTTTTGGATCGTATCCTTGAAATAAATGCATGAATCAATGTGATGACCAAAATTGTTATGCATTTTACAATACTTTCCCCTCTTATATATTTAGAAAAGAGATCTTATGGATTTCACTCAGTAATATTTTTCTATCGTTCAATAAGATATGAAAAACTTGGTTGACCTTGCTAATATAAAATGCATACTTCCATTTAATAAACTTTGAGTTAATGTTCAGGTTTGAAATTCAATTATTAGGATGACCATGGTTTCAATTCATTCAGTTAAACACTTTCATAATTAAACATATTATAAGAGTCATCCAGTACAATACATAGTTTCTTGTACATTTGTTCAATATAGTTGTAATAGATAATTAGGTTTAATTTCTTGCAATCCCCATTTGTAAATTTGTATCCCCCTCCCCAAATTATGTAATAGCGTAGTAAATTTACTTTCCGCAATTTATCGCTTTCATATCAATGCTAGTAAATTAGGGTTTGTATGGAAAGATAAAATCAATACTTAAAAAACCCTAATTCAATATAAATCAAGCATGAAATACAAACACTTGCACACTTGCACCTCTAGGGTTAACTCCACTTGTTGCCTTATGAAAAATGGTCATGTTATGCATGTGAGACATCTTAGCAAAAACAATCAAAAAATACAAGATCATAGTCCCTCGATGATGCTTCGAATGCGGCCTTCAAATGATCTTATTCCCTCAAGAGAAATGCTAAGATATCTCACAACATTGTTATTTATGACTATACGATGACTCACGCTCGTCCCTTTACATCCAAAGATAAGGCTTCTTACCAATCAATGGTGAGATAACAATATCAAAGGAAGAGAGAAATGAACAAAAAGACTTTTGAGTAGGTAGAACGTTCTTAGTTGCTTGCTCACAATCCATCTTCAGAAAAACAAACATCTTTTCAAACACACAAATACTTTCAAAACATGAAATATTTTCAAAAATTCCAACACTTTGTATGCATTCTTATAGAGAGGAGATTCATTACAAAGTTTGCCTAAACGAAGGCGCTTTTCAAAAATACTTTCAAAAACCACCACAAACACATTTCAAACAAAGCAATTTCAAAAGTGATCTAACAAGCAACTAAGATCCCATAGATAACTATGGATGAAAAGGGTGCTAACAGCTTCCTTTTTCATAACCTACTCCCCAAACTCAAGAAAATATCTCAAAGGCCGTTCCTGTTCTTTTCACCATTTCCTTTATTGGATAAAAGAAAAGTCGGTGGCGACTCTTGCTATCGATAACAATTGCGATCAAACGCAAAACAACCAAGTCAGTTCTCTCACCGTATTACAATATGTCATCTCTTTTACATGTCCTTTGGCGAGTCATGATCTTGCTTAGCTTGTAATCTATAAGCTATTGAGGGTAACACTGCATGAAGTTAGCAATGAGATTAATAAGAATAAGGGTACTCATTTCAGACTTTCTTGGGTTCGGCATGTCTAGAAGGAACCAGTTATGGAGACCAGTTTGATTTTGTTACGAGGGCATTCATGTTACATTTGGTCGGGTGCACCATTATTGTGTACACGTGTCATTTTTTGATAGAGGAGTCACGCCTTTTGATAGATATGAAGTATATTAGGTTGTTTATTGATTTGGGATATCATAAATGTGCATAGGGTGTCTTCATATTAACGATGTTGTACTATTAGAGGCTTTCTATAATGAGACGAGTCATCTTGGAGGGCATATGACCGTTTTATAGGTTTTAACATATTATCGCTAATTTTATTATTTAAAATTTTATAGTAGTTCATGCTTTTTATTTGACTAAGTTTGAATTTTTTTTCTAGATTTAGTGTTGAATTTATGAACATTTTTCCAGCTTATGTGATAAGAAGGATCATGAGACTCACACCGAAGGCACTCCTACAAAGAGAAGATCAATAATTTAACATGTTTTGGTTGAACATTTACACTTACATGAATATGATTTATGTACTAAAATTTAATGACATCATCTAAACGTCACATGAATATTATAGAGTGCACCATTCAGTTGATGACACATTTTAATATATCGATATCTTGGTTGGCAAACTACTATTATAACATATCAATAGGAGCAATATTTTCTCTATTTGACTATGTTTAGGGTATTTCATTGTTAATCCCTCACGTTTTATATAATGTTGGCATGTGGTTCCCAAGCAACTTTGTTAGTTATGTATTGACCTTGCGACATAATACATTCTCAATGGAGTATCAATGTTCCTTTTTGGACGATTACCTAGAGAGGTTCTACTTGATATCACATCCTCACATACCTTCTTTTGGTTCATGCATTTATAAATTGTCATTGCGTTCAAGACCATTGTCCTCACCACGTCTGGGTATGCATCATCAGAGGTTATAAGTGATAAATATTCTTATATGTGACTTTCAAGGTTTGATAAACTCAAATGGTAAGATTCACGAGATCCTGATGCATGTGTCTAATTTGCACGTGGTCGACCATTCTAGACTTATTTTTTTCTACAATTTATGTGATTTGTAACTTATGTTTTTTTTAAGTTCAATAAATGTTGTATTCTTGTGTAACAACCAATAAAAGAAAATCATCATATAATGCATATATATACTTTGTGATATAAGTCAAATAGTCTCCACTTTGATTTTCAACGCTTCAGATATAAATCTCGGGATCGGGGCTGTAGTACTATTTACCGTGTCATTCATAAACAACCTTTCTTTCACCGTGTCATTCATAAACAACCTTTCTTTCATATTTAAACAATCGAGGAAAGGATAACTATTTAATGAATATGATAAATCATGGAGTGAATACCCACGAAATCCTAACCACCAATATAACATTGTTTTTATTAGAGACAAATCTCAATCTCAAAGGACATTTAATCTTTTTTGAATAAGTAACTATTAATCTTGTGTTAATTTTATAGTTGAGTGAAACCGAAAAAATCATTGATATTTTATGTTATTTTTCAACTATCTATGCCTATAACAATACATCTTCACGAGTTGAAAAGTTCTAGAAATAGAAATTTAAACATTAAATCAACATTTTGAAAATTGTATTTACAATCTACAATATCAATTGATCTAAACCATACCTTTACAATAGTGAATACTTAAATAAAATCCACATGTAATTCACAAATTTCTCCATACCTTAATTAAAAAAAATTATGTGTATTTAAAATCAAAAATTTTAAAATATACAAAAATTCTCGCATTTTTAATTTTAAAAAAATGTGGAATATGCGAAAATAAAAGTATTACAAATTGTGGAAAGTTTAAAGATAGTTGGGGTTTGATATTTTTTGTGGAGGTGAAAAATCAAAATAGGGAGAATTTTCGAAAAGAGTACCAAAGAAAAAGGCCCAAATTAGATAACAAAACCCCAATGTGCCCTAAGTGATTTGTGAGTCACACCCCACACTATCATTGAATAACTTTCTTTTTGTTTGATTTTTTTAATTATATTTCTTTAGGGAGATAATTGATATTAATTACGATGTACCATTTTTTTACTTTCTTTTAGAAATATCAAAGAGAATTGATTATTTTACTCCCTATTTTTTTTGGTAGGAATTTTACACCCAATTGATGGACAAGAGAATTCAAATATGTGGTCAATCATATTCATATGATAATTAATTAATAACAAAGTCACACAATTTATTATTATCAATTGAATATAATTAACACTAATTTTAAATACCATTCAATTTTTTAAGTGTTCAAATATATATACCTAAAAAATGTGATTTATGAAATTAAAATTGCCATTTATAAAATTAAAATTTTAACATTTGTTAAGTGTGTAACTAAATGTCAAAATCTGACATCATTAATTGTGTGTCAAAATAATATGATTTTTGAAGTAATTATATTAGTAAATTATCAAATACTGGGTGGAAATGAGCACACTAGAATTTTTTTTATTAATATGACATGCTGGTTTTTAGTTGAATTTTTTACAATAATATTTTTTTAATAATATATTTATGTGAATAAAGTTATTAATATTTATCAATTAATAAAAATTTTAATAAATATTATGAATAAATGATATATAATTGTGGTACACATTTAGGCACCAAATGGAGAAAACACATGGTGGATACAAAGAAATAAATTTTGATGTACATTTTTTTGAGGATAACCTTATCTCCAATCAAGAAGAAAATCTCCATTTTCCACCTCTCATCGAATTTCCACACATTTCTTGAACCACTAATATCTAAGCCTCATACTATATCCAACCCTGCATGAGCAAGACTTGTTTCAAAGAAACCAATAATTAATAATGGCTTCAGCTTCTGTTTCAATGTCTTTACCACTACCTCAAGCCACACACAAAAACCTCACCACACCCTTCTTGAAAGCCTTACCCTTTCCACAAGCAAAGAAGACACTAGTCAACAATTCAACTTCAAAATCCAATCTTGTTGGAGTTCAAGCGTCATTGAAAGACCAAACAGTCAAGGGTCTAACAGCTTTTGCTTTGACAGCTTCTATGGTCATTCCAGATGTTGCTCATGCAGCTGGAAATGACTTTTCACCTTCTCTTAAAAACTTTTTACTTAGTATTGCTGCTGGTGGAATTGTTCTTACAGCTATATTAGGTGCTGTTATTGGTGTTTCCAACTTTGATCCTGTTAAGAGAACTTAATTCAACTGTGCTGTCTCAATCTTAAAAGTTTACATTTTATGCTTCTTGTAATTTATGCGTAATTGTTTCTAATACAAGAAGAAACATACCTACCATACTTGTTTAATTGTTTCTACTTAAATTCATTATATATGTTTTTCATGAATTTGTTGTCTTAACACTTCTGATTTAAGATATGTCTTGTTAACACTTCTGATTGAAGATATTTCTCGTGTTTGACAAATCCGATACATGTATCCCATTTAATTAATCAATTTTTGTCAAAATTTTACCAAAATATCAGGGCTTCATATGAGAACTATTATGGTCGGCTATAAAACATTGACAAAGGGCAATCAGATAGGTTAATGTCGGACATTAGCATGTGTCAAACATGAGACACATTCTATCAAAAATATCGGTGGTATAAAATTTGAACCTATCAACCCCATAATTTGCAGGTTTAAGTGGAGTTCAATTTAAACTAGTTAGAGTGACCGGGAAGTTTTATCGATAGGATTTGATTTAAATTAGTTATAGTGACTCGAAAGTTTCATCGGTTTAATGTAACGTTTGTCATTAAAAAGAAAACCCGTAGGATTGATATTTTAAAATATAATTTTGAATCCATGAGAATTAATTGAAGCAAATTGAAGCCAAGTTGATGAAACAATTGGGAGCTATTTTATTAATTATTTGATATAGCAATGTAACAATGTTGTCATGCTTTATTGAGTCTAAACTGTACATAAGATTCATACACACACTCTAACACCATATGCAAGTTAAAGAAAACATGCAAGTATTACATAAACTGAATTGTCCTACAGATAAAACTTTAAAGTCAAATCTGTACTATGATGTTGTGTAACACTTTTGAGGTGAGAGCATGCAATAGTGATTTCATTTCTTTTAGCTACGAACAGCTATGCCATGTCCAGGAATAAATCTAGCATTATCTTCAGTGTACACATGAGTTTCATTCTGCAGCCTGAAAAATTAATCATTTTGATGTCAAATTCTAGGATTTGGATTTGAATTAATTCATGTGGAAACTTGGGATTTAAAATCGATTGCGTCTATGAGGCTCAGCAAAATATAATTCAACTGACAAATATCAATATTGTTATGTTAGATATTTTATTTCAGATTTGAATATGAGATTTCAAAATTGTGTGTACGAATTTATAGTGATTATTGTCGGTTTGTTTATAGATTAAAAATTGAACTTACGATTTGGAGACGGTCTTATTCATGATGGTTGATGAATGGAACCAAACACCATCTAGATAGAGCAATTTTCCATTGATTCTTGTTTCAATTCTTTTGTCCATTTCCACAGCATCAATCAATATTGGTTGGTCTGAAGCCTAAACTCAAAGCATAGAAATTTATATAAAATGAAAAAATTACAAAATAAAAGTAATAAATTTAAAGTATGTGATTTTTGGCATACCATAACCCATCCCCATGAATCAGCAAATGATGGTACATGAGTTGAATATGCCACCACATCTACACATAAGAAAAACATATCTTAGTCAAATTAAAGACTCTCTATATGTCTTAAAATATATTATTAAATTAAAATTAGAATCTTAGAACAAAAAATGAGTTAAATATACACTTACATTTGAAGACCTGTTTTATGGTGTTATGAATAGAGGTGAAGACCTCTTTGTGTGAGAAGATACCTGCTGGTCCAGCCTACATCACAATATATGTTTGAGAGATTGGATCCAATTTACCACCAAATTATGGTCCAACATGAGGAGGTGTTATTTAAAAGTCTACCTGAGTCACAAAAATTCCATTTTTATTGAGTTTGGCCTTCACCACATTCTCATAAAAGTCCTTAGTATAGAGTTGATAGCAAGGCCCATCTTCAAGTGGATCAGCCAAATCTCCAACAATTACATCATACTTCTCATTTCTCTTCTCTAACTCAGCCCTTCAACAATAGTGTAAGAGTTTAACATATATTAATTTAAAAAGATGAAATTTAAGTTTAATTTAAAACAATTTGCTTAAGTCATAAATAAAGAACTATCTTCTTACTTGGCACAATTGATGACAAGATCAAGTTTGTTGTTAGCAAATGCCTCCCTATTCGCAACAAGGTATTTTCTACAGAAATCTACCACCTCCTGCAAGATTAAAAAGTTTATTAAAACCTAATTACCTTAATTTCAGCAATACATCTTCATTAATCTTAGACTAAGTTTTACATGAACAATGTCTCAATAACATCATATAAATTTACTCTATGTTCCATTTTGTTTGTCATTTTACCAATATAATTTTGTTCAATTTTAATTGAAAATTTATAATTTTAATGAATAACACATTTATTTTATATTATGTTATATATTCGGAACTTGTTTAATATAGATTTCTCAAAAGTGATCTAAGAGTTGTCTCCATCATTTTTTATAATATTAAAAAATAAATAACAAATATGTTTTTTATTAAAATTTATTTTGGGAAAAAACATAGTCCTTGTTTTTTATTAAAAATGACACTGCCAATATAAATATCGAAATTATTAATTTTTCAATTTGAGGGACTGTTAAGAAAATATGAGTTATAAATATTAATAGCCTAACCTTGTCAATATCACACATAACTACTTTCTCCATTGACTTGTGTTTGAGAGCTTCCCTAGCTGAAGAACCTTCACCACCTCCCATAATATACACTGTTTTGGGGCTGCCATTTTATTACCTCTTCATATTAGTTAAAGGTTTCATCAAATAAAATTTCATTCAACTCTAAAAAATATATTTCCATAAATCTCACTATTTAAAAAAAATTAATTTTGTATAAAATATATCCTCCAGTCACTATTATATATATATATTTTTAAATTCATTGAATAAATATATCCAGTTATTATTATATATAGATATATCAATTATTATATAAATTTTTCTTTTGTTATTTATAACAGTTAGCACAGGGTTGTAGTGATTTTCTCTTTATAAAAGTGTAATATTAAAAATTAAAATATTAACGAGTATAAAAATGTAGTTCTTAAATGAGTTGCTAAATATTGGTTAATTATAATGGATATATTCCTAAATACACATGATTTATAAAATAATTGAAGTGGTTGATTATTTATTTCCTTGTTAGAAGATATTATAATGCTATAACGAACAAGGAATAAAAAAAAGGGAGAATATTACATCAAGGAATCATAGAGTGCATAAAATAAAGAAAAAGGAATTTGAATATATACATCAATTATATTGACATGCTACATTTTTTCAATTTTATATAAAATAAATGTTTGAAACTCTATCTTTTAAACATTTTTTTTATTAGATGAAGCTCGTATAATTTTCACCACTTTATGCAGATTCAATTTTAAAATGTGAGGCCATATGAATTTCATTATGTAAAAAAAATGTTAAAAAAATGGTTAAACACTGTAAGCATGTTTAAAAAGTTAAGAAAACTTTTTTAAAATAAATTTAAAAAATTAAATTTTGTTAAAGTCAAAGATTGAACCAAGTCAATAATAATATGAAATTGTCACTTTTTACTAGTTCAATTAACAAAAAAAAAAGTTGATAGTTATTTTACTAGTCTAATAAAAATACATTACAATTATTTTACTATATTATATATATATAATTATATTAAAATATATAAAAAATTTAAAATTTGAAGATTTAAAATCTTTTTTATTTTTGAAAATGAAGATTTAAAATCTTAACTTAGACCAAATTTGGTTTCCCTTGGGTTGGTGAGCTAAAAGATACCGGTTTAAAAAATTGTTTTTTAAAGAAACTTTTTTTTTTTTATATATAATGTCTTCCTCTATTATATTGAAACTTACTTGGGATGACATAAAAGAGGAGGGTGAATCAAGCACTCATGATAAATGAATTCATCAGCTTCAGAGCTTTGCATCTTCCCATCAAGCATCAAAGCCTATGCATAATAATCATATAACAAAATTTCATAAATTTAATAGAAAAATTTTTTTAGACCAATTTCATATTTAGTGGCCACTTTAATTTTCTATCATTTTTTTCTCTTCATATTTATAGTGTCCACTTTAATTTTATATGGTTTTTTTTTTCATATTTAGTGGCCACTTTAATTTTCTATGGTATTTTTGTTGTTGTTCATATTTTAGTAGCAGAGCTTGCAAACCTTTCCAAAACGCTTTGTATCTATCAGAGCAATGTCCTGGTATTCACTAATAGCTTTATGCAGCACACTGTTGAAAATAAAATAAAATGAAAATAAATAAAAATAAGAAAACAGAGGAAATTGAAAAGAATGTAATATACCTGTTGAGTTTAAAAGACCATTTGAGATCTTCATCGATAACTTCCTCGTACCATGTGGAATCATCATCATCAACAAGGTTAAGGTTGTTGTTGTTGTTGTTGACATGGTTTTGTTTTGGTTCTCCCATGGTTTTTGTTTTTGATAAAACCACTCCCATGGTTGGAAAATAAAAGAAAGATGAATGAATGAAAGAAACAGATGAGGAAGTTCAATGTGGATTGTGGCAAGAGTGGGTAGCACTTGCTTTTATAACAACAGGGAAAATCAAAAGTGGATAATATCTTTTTTAATTTTAATAATTTTCTCTCTTTACACTTACACTATCCAATAAAATTAATAATATTTTTATGTATTTTTTTGACTTTTTTTTCTCTAGAAAATATTGATTTATATGTATCAACAAGTGGTTCACATTTATAATATAAGAAAATATAAAAAAATATTATTGTCAAAAGTTAAATCTCAACAACTCACTCATTTAATTTATCTAACAAATATCAATTGAACTAAATTAAATACATATTTTAATACTATTTTTAAAATAAAATATATATTAATAATAAATATTAATTTATTATTCTCTATAAAAATAATTAAAAAAATATTTTTTATCTAACTTTTGCCATCCAAAATCTATTTTTCTCTCTTTTAAAGTAGCAAATAGGCACATGTATTCTAAGAAATTTGTTTTGGGGTTTTTGATTTTTCTACAAATGTTATGGCGATCGGAGATAGTTAATGTTTAGTAATCCTAACGATATGTTTGGTTAGAGATAGATGAAGGAGAAAGAAGTTTATAATGAAATGTCTTTGGTTCAATTTTTAAAAGAGAAGAGGAGAGAGAATAAAATCTCTTCAAATCATATTTTTTACATTCTCTTAATTGGGAGGATTCAAATGGAAGGAGAGAGAAAATGAATATTAATATTTAATAAATTAATATACTTATTAAAATATTTTTAATTTTATTTTAGTATTTTAAAATTATTATTTTCTTTCGTGTCCGTGTTTCTCTTCTTTATGATTTTCTCTATTGTTTATATAAATTATTATAATTATTCACTTCAAAATTATTATTTTTTATTTAATATAAATTATAATCATTGCAATTTTTTTATGGTCATTTATGTTAGTTTTTTTTCTAATTTTTTTTATGTATTCTATTATATTTTTTAATAAAACTTTAAAGCATTCTTTTTTTTAATAAAGCTTTAAAGCATTCATTTTTTTAATATTAATATTTAATAATAAGTTATTTTATGCATTCAAAAGTTGTTATCAGTGTATAATTATTTTGTGTTGAGAGTTATAATACAAATTAATTATACTCAATTTTTTTAATGTTACGTGGTAAGTTATAACTTTTTAATCACTTAATATATCACTTATTTAAAATCATAAGGATAAAAATATAAATTATAAATAAAATCTCTCCCCTCCCCTCATGAACCAAACATATTTTTAATCAAAACTTCTCTCCTTCCCTCCCATCCCCTCCCCTCTTTTGAACCAAACATATATATAATTTAAAAAAATTCATCCCCTTCCCCTTCCTTCATTAAAATCCCTCCCCCCCCCCCCCCCCCCCCCCCCCCCCCAATGGAACCCTTCACTAAACACCCTTAATTAATTGCGACAACCTGCAACAACACTACACACAGCAAACCATATGTCATCATTCATTAACATTTCCTGCAACCATTTACCACAAATAATCCATCTATGGTTGTCCCAACATCGTTAACCAAAGATGACATCTTTGTCAAGGCGGTTCATAATGTATACGACATACCAACCTCTCAGTTTTCAAAATTGATCATCAAATGAACATAATAGCCATCACAATACCGAAAGATGAATACCTAATTGATCTTAAAGCTTGCAAGCACAACTTCATGCAAGAATCATTTGGTCTAAAGGCATGACCCCTCTTAGAGTTAGTGTCTTGCAAAACAAGCTAACACCTTTGTGGAAGGATCTTAGAAAATGAGGAATCACCTCTCTTGACAAAGGATTTTATTAATTTTCCTTTTCAACCCTTGAGGACTCCTAACAAGTCAAATCAATTGGTTCTTGGAATTTGAACCCTATATTCTTAAAGTTATTTGCTTGAACCGGAGACTTCAACCTAAATGTTCAACCACACTCCTCTGCCCAGGTTTGGATTAAGATATTCGGTCTTGCTCAAGAGTATTGGTGTCCAAAAATTTTATTTGCTATTGGAAGTAGCATTGGTACACCAATTTGCATTGATCAGTTCACTAACAAACTGAATTTTAATAGAGAATTTGGCCATTATGTTAGAGTTCTAGTGGATATCAATTTGAGAAAACGAGCCATTTATAGGGTTTTGGTGGAAAGAGTCGGATTCACTTTTTTGTGTACATAAATTATGAGAACATTTTAGACTATTGCACCTCATGTAACTGTATAGGTCATACTGTAATTGTCTGCAGGAAATCCAATCCAAATATCATTGAGCCTGAAGTTACCAAACTTGTCTACCAGGTAGTGAAAAACAATAACAATGAAGCTGGCCTACAAACTAATGGCATTAAATTCAGAGAAAACCAAAACACATCAGCCCATAGAGAGAGCACCAATACAAAAGATACCACTGAGGCATCCAGTTTAAAAGACCAAATTGAGGAATTTCATAACAACAATGATAACACTAGCCCAATCAAAAAACTTGAGGCAGACACTAGTCCTAAACCAACTACTCCTATTCATGATGGAACTGATCATATACTCTCATTTAGCCATCCCCATAAGCTAAAACAAGTAACCCCTAATAGAATCAACAAAGACATGGCTTTCCTACAAAACTCCTGGGCCAATCTTACAGATTTAGACCCTAAACCAAACAATGACACATACAACATCAATAATTCTCCATATTCTTTTTAGGTTGCCATGAACCTAGAGGAACCCTTTAAAAATATCATTTCAAAGAAGAAAGCAAAGTCTTCAACACTAAAAAATCACTTATGGAACTAGATTCAAAGTTGGCTCTTCCAACTCCAAAAGGTTTGATCACTGCTATATTCTCTTTGACTTCCAGACTCAACAAATCACGTATGCTTTTAACTTCAATTTTTTTTAAATGTGGGTCACACATAGTGATTGCATTAGCATAATCCAAATGGTGTGGAGCACTCCTATTTTTGGTTCTCATATGTACGTTCAAGGCCAAAAGCTAAGATTGTTAAAAGGGGAACTAAAATTTGGAATAAAAATGTTTTTGGAAATGTAATGGATCGTGTCAAAATGGCTACTTCTTCTTTGGATAACATTCAACAAAGGCTCAATGATAAAGATCCTATTGATGAGCTTTTGAGAAGCTAGCTAATATTGATCTTTAAAATACGTAGCATAAGGAAGAGATGTATTGGCAAGAAAAATCTAGAATCAATTGGCACAAGGTGTGTGATAGAAATTCAACTTTGTTCCATATAGTTGACATTATGAAGAAAGATTACAATAAGATAGCTTCTCCCAGAGTTGAAAATGAGATTCTTACTGAACCTACAGGATCTCCAGCCACACTATCAACCATTATAGCTCCTTACTCACAAGCTCTCCCACAACTATTGATAGTGGCCTCGCTGAAGAAGTGATACCTCACCTCATTAATAACATGTTGGATTTAACTCCTTCTTTGGATGAGATTAAGAATTGTGTCTTCAACTTAAACAAAGATAACTCATCAGGTCCTGCTGGTTTTGGTGGCTTCTTTTTTAAAGAATGTTGACATATGATTCACACTAATATTTGTAATACAATGATGGAGTTCTTCACAAATAACAGGCTTCCTCCTTAACATGAACTCTAACATTGTTGTTATCATACCTAAAACCTCCAATGCAGGTACTCGTAACCAATTCAAGCCCATTGATATAGCGAATTTTAGCTTCAAAATCATCTCCAAAGTCCTTGTTGAAAGACTAGCACAAATTATCCCTGATTTAATTTCTCCTGAGCAAAGAGGTTTCATTCACCATAGGCAATTCAAAGATTGTATCTGACTCACTTTTGAGGTCATTAATATGCTGCACAAGAAATTTACTCATGGAAATCTTGCCATCAAGATTGACATTGGATTGGAACTTTCTTATTAAAGTATTAAAGACTTTTTGCTGTTGATCCAAATTCACCAATTGGATTATCACAATTCTTCACTCAACAAAGCTCTTTATTTCCATCAATGGAAAGTTGGAGAGCTTCTTCTCTTGCTCTAGAGAATTTAGGCAAGGAGGCCATGTCTTCTCTTTTGCATTGCAGAGCAGGTTTTGAGCAAAGGGATATTTCACTTGGTTTCTCTAAAGAAACTTCAACCCATCAAATCAACTAGAAATCTTCATATCCCCTCTTACTCCCTATTTGTTGATGATATTGTGCTTTTTTGCTCAAGATGTGCTTACTTATTTCTTTACTAGATATGTCAATATCTCTAGTCAGGTTATAAACCCCTAAAAGTCTATAATCTATGGAGGCTCCATTTCAAATACCAGATTGAATAACATTTCCTCATCGTTAGATTTTAATGTTGGTTATCTCCCTTTCATATACCTTGGAGTGACCATTTTCAAAGGTTGAAAACTGATATTTTATCCTTTGTAGGCAGTGTTCAACTCATCAAAAGTGATATTCATAATATGTTGGTTTACTCCTTAACCAAATATGTATGGCCTAAATCTTTGCTCAGGGAGGTGGGAACCAAGTTCATGAACTTTGCTTGAAGGAGTGATCTTTAAGGTAGGAAGCTGGTCACGGTAGCTTGAAAGACAATTGTTTCTCCTATCTCTAATGGTGGCCTAGGGGTGTTGTGATACGGTGGCCAGAACCGGGACTGTTTTTAGGAATTGCTGGTTTGTGTTTTACGTTTGTGTTTGCAAAATGTCGCGGTAAGCAAGAGTCGCCACCGACTTTTATGTTATCCAACAAGGAAAGGAAAAAAGCACATAAAAATTCCTTTTTTCGAGATTTTCTGAGCATGGGGGGTAGATTATAGAAAGGGAAGGTATTAGCACCCTTTCTATCCGTGTTTTTCCACGGGCTCTAAGGTACTTGCTCATCATTTTCAAAATTGCTTCTGTGTGTTTGTGTGATTTGAAAAGTTTTTGTTTTGACTTCGATTTAACTCTTGCTTCTGTT